ACAAATTCCAGAATTGAAGGAACAGAGCACTCTCTCTTTCTGCATTGAACTGACAAGGTGAAAATAAGCCTTTGGCTAACAGGAATTTCACAAAGAGTAAAGAAAGAGGAAGAAACTGGATTTATGATGATAAAGTCAATGATGTGCAAAATCAAATAATTTTGGAATCTGTCTACTCCTCTGCACTTCCTACTATATACATACTTCTTTTTAAGCCTTTGAGTCAAGTAACATAAATCTCTAAATAGCCAAAAGCATTCTAGCCACTATTGAAAGAAAGTAATCACTTGGAATTTTCTTAACAAAAAATAGAAATACTTTGTTAATATGTAACAAGTTAACACTCATAATTACACTTTGACCACAGAAATAAATTTAACTATTCTATCTGCCACATTATATAGTCATTAAAAGACATCAATATACATAGATGTATCTTTCTTAAGGCTTTAAAAAAAAGCTATATATTCAATACTTTTTATTTTTGTTAAATTTTTCAAAAAATTAAAAAGGAACCATCAGCACTCCTTGTAAGACTTGCATTTGGTTGACAACTCTATCAGATGCAGTTTATAACAAATATGAGAAAACATGTACTTTACAATTTAGAAATTTTCCTACTTGGATTTTACATGTCCACACATACGTTCACAAATGTATATATACACGTTTTATGACTGTAGAAAAAACTAAGACAACTCATATAACACAAAACATTTCTACATTAGTATAGTGATTCACCAAAAGATAAATTACAGTTCACTAATAACACAGGAATCATAATCCAAAGGTTTATTTCTTTGTTTGATAGCTATGTAAAACTATTTCTTATTTATGGAATATAAGTCTCAGTAATACACAAAAATTGCCAGACAACTATTAAAAGACTAGAGGTTATTGTTGCCAAGTTGCTATTGTTAGGCATCAATTCAAAGAGGCAAACCAAGAAAAACATTTGAACTTCTGCAGTGACAGTTCAAGGATATAAAAGAAAAGACAAAAAGGGATACACTGAGTCTGATCTTGAATTCTTACTACCTGGCTCTAGCAAAATGAATCAAAAATTCAGTTTAGTGAACAGATGTGTGACTTCTCACACATGACATAGCTGAAAGGTAAAATCAAAGCTAAAAACCTATTACAGCCTGAAATGAACATATACATTACTCAGGACAAATAGAGATGAACATATTAAGCTGTTATACTGTACTTGCACATTGAGGGAGTATAAATAATGACAATCCAATGCAGTAGGGGACATAGGTCAACAAAAGGTTTAAAAAGTTTTCAAACCATGCACTGTTACACTATTATTGTTGGACACAAACCTCAGGGTCCTATTAGGGTACAGAACTGTTCGCTCACTCATATCTCTAGACCTTGCTTAATTATTTATGAAGCAAAACCATCAATTTTATTGGATATATATTTTTAAAATCTTTATATTAGTACATGTTTGTGGTACACAATGATTACATTTCTTATGGGGAAGTTGGCACATGTACACAACACATCTTAATTTCATCCTCTTCCCCTCTCCACCCCGTCCATCTCTTGGTACTCCTAAATTCATTCATTTAGAATCTAGCTTGGGATAGAGTTTGGATTGGAATTCCTGAATGTCCTCTTGACTCTTAAAATTTAGTTCTTTATTAACCAGACATTTTAAGAGTCCATGGTCTCAGCACAGAAGTAATGGTGGGTTAGCTGTTACTTCAGTTTTTAACTTCAAAGAAGTACAGTGGTGCCTTTGAAAAAGCCTGTATACCGATTTCCTAATATCTGTCTTTTACTTTGCTCTTTATTTTTATTTTTGGGTTTCTCATATAAGAGACACTACAAAATATTTAAGCTTGTATGTCTGGATACATAGTGGTAATTTGGTTCAGGAACACTTTGTTTGCAAACAGAAATGTTTGGCAAAATTTTGCTTTTGTCTGCAAACTCTGAGTCAGTGACAAACACAACCTCAGCCATCTTTCCCACACAAACACAAACGTGGCCATCTTTTCCAAAATTGTAGAACAAATTAAGTTTGTGAACCAAGGCACCACTGTACTTCTTTGAAGTTACAAAATGAAGTAACAGCTAACCCACCATTACTTTTGAGCTGAAACCACGGACTCTTAAAAATTCTGGTTAATGAAGAACTAAATTTTAAGGGTCAGGAGGACATTTAGGAATTCCAATCCAAACTCTATCCCGAGCTAGATTCTAAATGAACAAATTTAGCAAAGATTCAGTAATAATTTTCCACATTCAAGACTGAGTGTTGCTTGATGAGGGTGATATAAATATACCTGATATCTTCCTTCAAGGATTCTACAGGATAGAAGAAGCTCCAAGGAATTATAGACAATGGGGCAGAATATCCTTCCATCATAAGGATTAAGAGAAAAATCCTATTAAAAAGAAGTCTTGCAGCACGATAAACTTCAGTAAATGCTTAACTAAAATTTGAGCTGAGCCTAGACCAGGGATGGCAAACTTTTAGAGATAAAATGCCCAAACTGCAACCCAAAACCTACCTATTTATTGCAAAGTGCCAATGCTGCAATTAAACCTGAATGCTTGGGGCCAGGGATTTAGTTCAGTGGTTCCGACGCCTGACTTGCAACCGCAAGGACCTGAGTTCGATCCCTGGTACCAAAAAAAAAAAAAAAAACCTGAATGCTCAGCTACTGGGGTGATGCTGGGGCAAGGGTGACTTGTCTCAGGTGCCCACCCAGAGGCCTCTGGGTGTCTGTGGCAGCACCCATGCCACGGGTTCCCCTCCACTGGCCTACAGCAAGATGCTGAATTTGGACATATGGCAATGAAAGAAGACATTTCAGGCCGTAAGAACAGAACGTACTATAACTTTTCCTGACATAGTCTGGGCATCCCATGCCAGTCAGTTCCTCAAACAGGCACCCTCTCCTCTGAGCCTTTGCATTTGCTGCTTCTTCTGCCTGGAATGTTCTTCCCCCAATGTCTTCAAAACTGGCTTAACCTCCTTTGTCATTGGTATTCTCAGTGAGAACTTCACTGGCTACCCTATTCTAAATAGCTATCCTCACACTCCCTACCACCTTGCCCAGCTTTATTTTTTACATAGCATTTATTGTTAGCTGGCATGTTACCCAGTCTACAATACTTTTTACTGGCTGTGTCTACACCCCCGCACCCGAGAGAAGGAGGTAGATCTATTTGATCATTTCCAGCACCTGAACATAAAAGGCAAGAAGCGAGTATTTGTTGACAGACTGATAGGTTACAATCTAAAGGGTGAAGTGAATATGTAAATTATCTTGTTATTCCCAAAAGACAAAACTAAATATACTCTTCACAAAATCCAATTTATAAAGGTTAATATATAGAAACAGCTTCTGGCATCTCACTTCTATATAGTCAGTAGATCTTTTCATACCTTGTAGTTTCATAACACAACCATCACAGCTACTCATGAAACAGCCAAAAATGCTACCAGAGTTCCCCCTGCTGCCAGAACTGCCTTTTCCCACGTTAACCTTCGATGGTTAGGGATATTCTTAACTGGCAAAGGATATTCTTCTTTCCACTAAGGCAAGAGAAAGCTGTAGTCCTAAATTTTCAAATTAAATCCATATTTCAAAAGACAGTTATATTCTACACTACAAGGATAGTTAGTTATCGTGGATTAGCCAATGAGCCTATTGTTTAAAATAATATTTAACTGCTAAATTTGTTACAAAAAAGTAAACTTTTGAATTCAATTTCACTGTTGAAGCATGCTTTTTCTACATTGCAAATGCATAGCACTAGTAAAATAATTAAGTAGAAGATTCCTTCAACAAAGGCTAGTAACATGTTAAGGAAATGTGTAATAAAATTAATGGCATTTATTTCCACTCAGAAAGATCAAGTAGTTTTATTCTGTATTAAAATTTGTGTAGAATTTTTAAAAAGAGCATTAGTATTGAGGTCATACTAAATTAAAACCACACAGCCCTAAGGGAAAATATTCTTTATCACCAGCAAAAGCAAAACTACTTAAGGAAATAAAAATAAGCTCAAGACTTCGCACTTCAACCAACACCTCCACATAATGCATTATCATTGTAGGCAAACTGACATTTTCACACTTAATTTTTAATGGCAGTAATGATTTCCATCTGGGCTTTAACTGCATAAAAGTGTTAGTCTTGGCACAGTTTCAACACTGAAAGTACATTTCTGGCTTCAGCAAAATGCCTCAATCCAACACAATACTTATACTGCAAATTAATCCTACCATTGAGAGCCCAATTTTACCTAGTGGCGAATTCTGCCCTCGGATAAGCATGTAAGTCTACAACCCTTTCTCAACCATTTATAAATTGCTAATTACTACTGTAAAACCTCCTGCACTTAACAATATTGACCTGTATCTACAGCTCTAAAAGAGTTTTAAAAATACCACTGTTCTTTACAAGTAGAAGAAAAATTAAAAATTAAAGCAAAATCCCTTAGTAAAATACTAATGACAAACCGGAAGCTTAAGTCGTTAACTTTCAGGTGTAGCATCACAGCTCCAAGTGGTCAACGCAATTCACAGCCGGCAGGTAAAGCCCGGAGGTTCTTGACCTCACACCGTGACAGGAGACCCCGAAAGTCGCCCGGGCAGCGGGCAGCGTAGGGAAGCACACGGGAAGAGCTTTCCAGAGCGCAGGGGCCGCCGGGCCGGCAGCCAGAGCCCCGCGCGAGGAGCGGTCCAGGGGAGTGGCCGCCCCTCCGTTCCCGCGGACCGGAGCCGGCACCGGGGAGGCGCGAGTCGAGGTGGGGCCCGGAAGGCCACGGGGCACGACAGCCCGACCCGGCCGGGCAACTACCCCGGCCCGACCACAGCCAAAGGAATCGCCCGGGAAGTGGCAGCAGGAGGCGGCTCCCGCTCACAACCCCGCGAGGCCGCGGACGGCGCCTCGAGGGTCGCCGAGAAAGCCGCGCGGGCGCTGCCCGTCGCCAACAACTCCCTCTGCCCGACTCGGCGGCGGGATACTCACGTAGGGCTGGTAGAACTTGGAGAGCCGAGGCTTGCCGTGGTTGTTGAAAATGAGGATCGCCTTGATCATGGCTGGGCCGGGCCGACCTGGTGGGCGCTGGGGCCGGGGCGGGGGCGGGCACGCGAGCCTCGCCTAGGGATCTAGCCGGCGGTCCTTCCCACCCGCCCCCTCCCTCAAGCACGCGCGCGCGCCCCCGAGCAGCAGGGCGGGGCCCGAGGGTGAGGGACTGGGCGGGGCAGGCGCGAAGGACAGCGGAAATCTTTCTAGCCGGGTCCACTAGTCCGAGGGGGGGTGCCTACTAGGTAGCGCCCCTGGAGACGTTGTTTGCGAACGGCTTCCTGAAGCTTAATACAGCGGTGAAGCATTTTCTGACACAATAAGGGCAGAAGGTCCGATAATGGCAGAAGGTCCGAGACAGATTCGATTTGAAGAAAGAGCCTAGAGACTGCAAGGTTCACTGTTGTGTTGGACTCCCCTACTTCGACGCCTCCCTTGCGACGTTCCCAGCGCAGATCCCGCCCACTGCACGCGCTCAGGCTCCACTTCCGGCCTCGGGCCGTTCCCGGTAAGATGGCGGAGGAGCCGGAGACAGTGCTGCAGCTCTCTCCGTCACCTGCGGCTGCTGCCTGCGAAGGACTTGCGGAGCTCTCCCCCGAAACAGCCACACCAGAGCCCCCTTCTTCTGGTGCAGTTTCTCCGGGAACAGAAGAACCTGCCGGCGACACGAAGAAAAAAAGTAATTTAGAGGGTAGTTTCTGGCTAGACGGGGAATTTAGTTTCGTCCCTAAAGCTAGCAGCGAATTTAAAAAGCAAAATTTAGAGGAGGGCGCGTCCCAGATATGCATTATCACTAGTCAGAAGAGAGGAAGTGTATTTTTCAGTTTTCAAGCGTGTGAGTCCCCCCTCAAGAAAGCCATCTTAGTACCCACCTTCGCGTCTAGCTAGGATGGATTAGGTGCCTTAGTTGTGGCGCAGAGTCTGGGCTGCCATGTCCTCTGTGGTATATTCTACTCTCCCTTTGAGTTAGCCAGACCGCACACTCTTTGAAGTAGGAGGTGAGTGGGATTCAGAATAACGGTAAGGTGATAGGAAGGCAAAACATGGCTTAGAATTCACGTCTTCTCACTGGTTCGCTACCTCCCCTATCAATATAGATACTGTTTGATCAAAAAACTGGAATTTGAACCAATATGAAGAATGTTAAAGGAGCTACACCCACGCATGGCACACGCCCTTAATCCCGTCACTTGGGAGGCTGAGGCAGCAGGACTGCGAGTTCGAGCCCAGCATGGACTACTCAGCGAGACCCTGTCTCAAAAAGGGTTAAGGTGTAGCTCGGTGATGGACCGCTTATATTGTATATGTGAGGACGTGGATTCAAATCCCTGACCACTCAACACAAAGAATGCTAAGGGGAAAGTAAAAGCATAAACATTCCCTTTAAAAAATATTCTGGAATCTTTGTGAGTCATTTTGTGTTTTGAACTAGCGTTTATTGTCTGGAAAGTTTGTTGTTGGAAATCGAAGAATTTTTTAAGGTTACTTGTCCTGAACATCAGTTTTCTGTGAGAAAAACAACAAACAAACATCTTTGAATTGAACAGGTTAGCATTGTCCTTGCTTAAATTTTCTCAATCCAGACTTTTTTCCTTTTTTGTTTTATGAAAAATTTCCTAAGAAAATAACAATAGTACATTATGTATCATTGCCTTCAAAGTAATTACTTAAAGATTCTGTTACAAAGAAGAAACATAGTGGAACCAAACGTTCTTTTAAATGACTTAAGAGAAACTAATAGTAAAATGAAAGCCTTAACATGTGAGAGTTTTTAATACAGCGGAATAGTCTTAAGATGTAGGTATGTATGTTTTCTGATCTGTGATCTCAGGGGCCTTACAGATCTTTCTGCTGTGGTGGAGGGTAACTTGATTATCCCAGCACTACTGCTTTTTTAAATCAGTCTGCCTTGAGACTGGGGGCTGTAAATCTGTGGTTGGGCACCTTCCTAGCAGCTCAAGGCCCTGGCTTTAACACCCCCACCCCAACCCTCAGTGCAAAGAGAAAAAAAAAAATCAGACTGCCTTTACATTTGGGGAAAATCATTTCCTTATGATGCACTATGATTATTTGTGGAAAATAAGCCACTAGAATCTTTGAAACACTGTTACAGATTTTGCAGGTTTTCCTTAAGTTTATTTCTTCTAGTTTACTATAAACATTTGCCTACTTTCAAAGGGTATAAGGTCTAACAGTCTTACTTAAACCTTAGTACTTGACCCTGATGATGCCTGTGTGAAAAACAGCAGAAAACAATGGCCCACAATCCAGATTTTGCTGGAGAGCATGTTTTCTTTGGTCTGCATAATTTTCTTTGGTGTTTTTTTTTCTTTTTACAAATTGAATCATCATTTGAATTACTACCCTGAGATTGTCGTCCTTTTTGGAAAATGATCTAATGAAAGACACTAAATATTTCATATGCATTACCTTTAATTTACAGGAGAAAGATTATTGACCCTGGGTGCATATGAGGATCACTTGGGGAGCTCTTGAATCAATGTACCAGTACTGAGGTACTGCTTCCAAAAGATTCTGATTTAATTGATGTGGCCTTTTGTATTTTAAATGTTTCTCCCTTGATTACTTCCAACAAAATCACCCTCAGATTTAAGAGTACAGCTGTAAGCACAATACAATAAATACTTCTCTAGCTTCTTGCTCTCTCACTCTTTTTCAGTAGTACAATTTGATGCCTAATTGCAACTGAATTATATTGATAGCTTCAGGGGATTGAGATGACAGAGAAGCAAGGTATGAAAAACAAGCTAACCAAAATCTATTACCTCCAAGTTCATTCCTATTTCCAAGATAACTGAAGGAAAGATAATTAAGTAATTTTTTAACGAGTAGATAAACTGCTTCATATGTTCTGTGTGCCTTCATTCTAGGGTAAACTTGAATAAATTGATCTTTGATCCTGATGGTTTCATATTTTAATACTAAAGAATGTAATAAGGGAGGTTAACTTTAGGGGATAGTAGCACACAATTTTGTTTTCAGTGCTTTCAATTATAGGTGCTTTTTTAAAAAAAAAAAAAAAAAGTAACTTTAAGAGACAGTTTCATAGTCTGGAGTTTCCATATCTCTGTTTTGGATTATTGACACCTTTTGATTTCTCTCTGAAGCCTCTTTTGACCCTTCCTTATATTTTATCTTTAATGCTATTGTTTTCTTTTATTTGAAAAGTTAGTCATAGAGTGCTCACTTCAGCAGCACATATACTAAAGAAGTTAATCATAGAAAATTTGATAGTTACAAAAAGTGTTAAGTAATGCCAAGTAATAATTGCCTGTAACATCTTTACTGAGAAGTACAACCTCCTTATGCCATTAAGTATGTTTTTATGATGTGTTTCTTTAATGGCTTTTTGATAATTTAAGATTGAATGAGTATGAGTTATATGCTGGATACTGTTCTAAATGTGTATTAAATTCTTTAATCCGTATAACAACCTTGTGAGGTAGGTGTTGTTATCCCCATATTACAAATGGAGACGCTAAATAACTCACTCAGGTGTATATATTTGTCAAGTGATAGAACCACAATTTAGATCCAGGCAGTTTAGAGTATGTGCTCTGCATTATATAAATTCTGTCATACAGTACATCTTTTATTTAATCAGTTTTTTAATAGCCTGTTAGAGCCTTGGATGTACCAGTTTTTCCTATAAAAATGCTCCAATGAATGTGAAATTCTTCTAAGTGAATCTTAGTACATCTTAATGTTTTCTTAGACTAGATTCCTAGAAGTATTGCCACATTGCTTTATGGAAAGGATATACCATTTTATATTCTCAACAATAGTAATGATCTATACTGTTACTCTAATCTTTACTGCTCTTGTAGGTAAAAAAAGACTTTGATGTTTTTGTAAACTTAAATACATATTTTATATCTTTATGGTCTATTTTTTTTTTCTCCAGCTTACTTTTTCATTGCTGAGACACAGTACCTGGCAGCCACGACTTAAAGAAAAAAACTATTTTGGTGCACAGTTTGTAGAGGTTTCAGTCCATAGTTACCTGGCCCCATTACAGGATAGTGTGGCAGAGGAGGCTTGCTTATGGCGTGGCAGACAAGAAACAGCGATCAATAGAGGAGCAGGGAAGAAATTGACCCCGGGGCACACCTCTAGTGACTCACTTTTCTGGCCAGATCCCACCTCCTGACAGCAAGTCAGCTATAAGCCCCTTAGTCTAATCACCTTCCAAAAGCCCCACCTATGATCACATGAGGCTTTGGGGGCACATTTAGATATAAACCACAAAATGGGAATTAACTCTTAATGTCAAATATTTCAAAGATAAGTCCCATGGGGAGAACTTTGTAGGATCAAGAAAAAAAAAACAAAACAGAATCTTAACAATTTTACATCTTTGATTATACCTTCTGAATCATAAGTACATAAAGCTTATGTAGATTAAACATTTTAGTATATGAATGCTTTTAGATCACATGCTCATTAGATCTTTATAATTATCTGTAATTTTTTTTCCTTTTACAGTTGACATCCTGCTGAAGGCTGTGGGAGACACCCCTATAATGAAAACAAAGAAGTGGGCTGTAGAGCGAACACGAACGATCCAAGGACTCATTGATTTCATCAAGAAGTTCCTTAAACTTGTGGCCTCTGAACAGTTGGTATAGTGATTGTTTTCCTTTAAAAATTCACAATAGTTTTTGGGGGGCAATGAATGTTTTATATGTAGAAATGCATATGGACCCACATGCCACTTTCGTTATGCTCTTTTATTAGTGGGATTTTTGTAATTCATTGCATGATTCTTTGGGGGACTCTGAAATAAAATAAATTTGAGATTTGCCTTACACTGTGAACCAATTTTTTCCCCTCATTTTGGTGGTTTTTCTCAAAAAATTGCTGAATAATTACACAGAAAAATCAGGCAGAACATTTCTTAGTAAAGAAGTTGTGATTTTTGATTCTAGAGTTGTTTTTGTCTCATTCTTAAGGTAAACAATATATCTTTCCCAAGTAATGTGAAAGAACTAAAAGGTATATGCAGTACTTATTTCCTATTGTAATGTGTGTTTAGCACTTCAGGATGACATTTACAAGGATTAATATTTTTAATGCCACTGGTTTTTAATTTGACATTTGTCTCCAGGAATTTCTCTTCATGTACAGTCATGCACCACTGAACAGGGCAGACATGTTCCGAGAAATGCATCATTGGATGATTTTGGTGTGTGAACATCATATAGTACTTAGCCCAAGCCCAGACTGCCACCGAGGATATCATTTTATGGGACCACCATTATATTTGTGGTCCCTGCCTCAGTTTCATTATGTAGCATATAACTATGTTGAGAATTTTTTGTTGTATTAATACTTTGTGTCAGACACTTTTATTTGTAAGTCATTCACAATCTTGGACAGTGTTAATATAGATAGCATGTAAGTGGATAGATATCTGCAGAATCATTAAGTATTTTTAAAACATAAATTAAGAATTTATATATATAAATATTGGAATGTATTTGCTTGAAAACGAGTTAATATAAAAACTGAAATAGGAAAAAACAAGTGAAAACAGGTAAAAAGTGAAATCATTATTAAAGTGGATATTTTCAAAGTTATTTTTGTCAGTAAAAAGCAAGAAACTGAAAATTTGATCTAAGTTTGGTTGTAAGTGGCTCTCACAAAAAGGGAAAATTCAAGATAGGTTAATTGCTAGAAGTCATTTCAGGCAAGAATAGCATAGGGCCAGGGATCCCTCTAAAGTTATTTTGGTAAAGTTTTAGAAATAATTGAGTTTTACAGGTGAACATCTCCCTTTATGATCAATCAGAATAAGAAAAGGATCTGTTTTCTTGGGTGTCATGTGGAATTTAATTAAAGGGGAAATGTCAGAAATGGGTAAGAGCTTTTAGCATCACCCACATGCATATGGTAGCGAAATCCTCAGGAGCAGAAAATCTTGCCTAGAGTTCAAGTCCTAATGGAACAGTTAGGAGAATGACGACATGCTCTTGAAAGAAATGAACAGAAGCTGTATCTACTAAAGAGGTAACATAAAGAGACGGCAAGGTCAGTAAGAGTAGTACAATACAATAATTTTAAGGCATTAGTGTTTGAGAAATATGTAGAGATAGAAGAAAGGATGAAGCAGTGCTGTGACCTGTGTTAATAGGGTTTTGAAATTTTGTCATGCCTGTATTCAGTAATCTGAATAGGACCTTATTAATGTCAGCATGTATTTAATTAAACCACATAATTGCCATTTGTCGCTTTCCTAGATTTCCCATGTTCTGACTTTTATCTAGCTGCACCCCACATTATTTTAGCAAAATAGGTGGTGAAAGAAAAGAGTAATGTTAAGAATTCTGGAAAGAAGATAGTGTCAGAAGGCATAGTTGAATCTCTAAATTACCACAAAAAGCTAGTCCTAGATAGCGAAACCAATGCACATGATTAGTATTTATGCAAAACCAGGTGACAAAATATCCCCATGAACCTCAAACACTGGTGGGAACTGCAGGACCTCCATGATTCCAGAATCTCTAGACTAAGAGAAGCTGTAAGCAACAGGGTTGACATCTAACACTGAGAAAAAGAGAACCTCAAAATAGCTAAAAGGTTCTGTTCTGCACAAATTTAATAATAGTGTGGGAGCTAAGGATTTAGCTCAGTGGTGCAGTGCATGGGTGCCTTGCTAGGTTCAAGCCTCATTTCCCTGTCCAAAAAATAGTACCTGAAACTGGGGTTTTCTCTCTGAGCAGGTGATTACAGTGTGTTCACACTAAGGAGGAGTAAAAGAGCTAAAGCAGTGTAGCCCCTGAGGGCTCTCAAAACAGACCCACTTCCAGGACAGGACCCCATATGGGAGAAATTTTTGGGAAATCAAAATTGAGCCAAGGAGGAGAAAAGAGAAAGGAAGAAAAGATAAAGACTAGATCAGAGTGGAAAGAAACAGCCTGGAAAGCAAGCCTCCATATTTTTGAGTGCTATTAAAGAGCATAACAGAAGAGGGAGCTCTCAGAAGTTACAAAAACTATCCTAGGCCACCTTATTCCAAAAGTAGAAGTAAACAAACTTCACATAAAAACAATTCCAGCAACAGGAGTTATTGAGGTCAAGTCCCATACGGTGTTATTTAAAAAGAAAAAAAATAGCATCCCTCAAGACAGTGAAATGATGGCAGAAAAATATCCATACAAGACAAAACTAAAAGGCATTCTGAAAATGATACTAGACATAAAAAAATTAGCATTAATAAAACTAAGAAATAAAATGAGAAAGCCCAAGAAGAGAATTATAAATAAAAGGAAGATTATCTCAGAATGAAGACTAGACTACTGTGAACATAATATATAAGATAGATAATAGCTTAAGAAAAAAAGTAATTTAATTCTTTTAATTTAAAAGAAACAAAGGGTAAAAACTATGTGAAAGTGATAGATACTGAATATGGTTTATGGAGGGGAGGTGTTCTGGTTGTTTTGTTTGTTTGAGACAGGGTCTTGCTCTGTAGTTTGGCTGGCCTGGAACTTCCTAATAGCCCAGGCTGGCCACCTTGAACCGAAGATCGTCCTGTCTTAGCCTCCTGAGTGCTAGGATTACAGACATGAGCCACCATACCTGCAAAGTACATTTATTTATGGTTTAAAGCTCTTAAACTAATTGAATTCTTTTTAAATACAGTCACTTTCAGTTCCTAGTTTCTGCTGCAAAATCATTGAGTTCCCTGGTTCTGCATGTACTCTGCTGTCTCCATAAACTAGCTTTTCTCTTCTGTATTAACTATTCATATGTCTGCCTCTCCAGTGGATCATAAGTTCACTGATGGGAAAAATCTCACTAATCTTCATAATTCCATACCTTGTTTGGTTCTTAGTACATCACAGACACAAATGTTTTCTGAAATCAACTAAACTTTCATCAGAATCCTTTTTCCCAATTTACTTATCTTTTTGGCACTAGGGATTGATCCCAGGGCCTCTCCCATGCTGGGCAAGTGCCTTACTAGAGCCACCCACCACCCTGCCCCCTTCTAATTGAAAATCCACCAACACGGTAAAAGTCTATTCGCTTATAGTTAGAATTCCAAGAGCTACCGTAACATCTTAAATTTACCTTAAAATGTACATTGCTGTTAAATTTCTGAAATTTTTGTAATATTTAAACATGAACTACTTTTAAATAATTTAATAACATCTGTTGAATGTATATACCAAGCACTTACTTAGTATGTATTATCTCATTTTTCTTTCCTAGCAACCACAAAAAGTACAGATACTATTTTCCGTATTTTACAAATAACTTGACTTTAACTGAATTGATAATGAAGCATGTACTATTTTTAAATAATTTTATAATTAACTCTTGAGTGCATGTACCAGGCACTTTTAATATTCTCATTTTTTTCTTTTCTAAGAAACCCAAAAGGTATAGGTACTATTATTTTGCATATCTTACAAATAAACAAGCCAAGAAGTGTTACTTGTATTTAGAGCCAGGTTTCAACCCTAGATCTGTCTAAAGAGAACCCATAAACTTAATCACCACCTTATTACCTATGGGAAAAATATTTATTATTATTATAGTTGCTCAAAATAGTCTGTCAGCCAACTATACTGACACTTTAAAGCCCAGGATATTTTAGTGTTAAAATTTGGTTATATATACTAAAAGGTGTGTTTTATTTTCTAAAAAGAAAATTAACAAAAACTACTCTCCCATCATTTTCCTGCAAGGAACTTTGGTGCTACCCAGCCTGAAATTCACTACCTTTGAAAGTTTTCAAAAGTGGTAAAAGTTTAAAAAAATAAATAAATAAAACCTAGCCATGTATGTACAGAATATCTTGAATATTAGATTTATTGAGTGGAACAAAAATTCTGGTTTTTTTTTAATACACTGGAAAAGAAAGATGTGATCTTAATAAAGATTCATTTGATGAGTTAGAAGTATGGGGAAACATTCTTCAGTTTGAAGATAAGAGCTTGAAATAGCTAGATTAGCACGCTAAAAAATGCAAGTTAATCAGGGTGCCATTAAAAATGAATCTTTTTTTTTTTTTTCTTTCTTGTAGTTTATTTATGTGAATCAGTCCTTTGCACCTTCCCCAGACCAGGAAGTTGGAATGCTCTATGAGGTAAAAAGTTACTGCTTTTTTTTCTTTTTTAATGGAGTATCTGTACTTTATAGTATACATGATGTAATGTTTAGTATGGAACATTAAGTTACATATTTAAGAGCTAGCATGCCATTCTTAATTATCAAAAAGGTGAAGAGGAAATGACTTTCTAGTACTCTGCTATATCTCACACCTTGAACATAAGATCTAATTATGTAGTGATTGAAGAATCGAGTTACAAATTGTACTTCAGAGTTGTCTTTTGTTTGTATTCTCAGGAAGTTTTTATTTATCTGTTTTTATGGTTTTTTCATTATCTGTTTATATAGTCCAGAATCCAGATCTGCCTTTGTCTTAGTCACTTTTCTCATTGCTAAGACAAAATACCCGACACCCAAAGTTAAAGGAGGAAAGGTTTGTTTTGTTTTGTTTTGGTTTGGTTTTGTTACCAGGGATTGAACTCAGGACCTTGGCGCTTGTGAGGCAGGCACCGGAACTAAATCCCCCGGCCCAGGAAAGGTTTATTTGGCTTACAGTTCAAGTCCAGAGTTGGCAGGCGCTGAGGCAGAGTGGCACATAGTAGGCGAAAGTCAGCAGAAGCAAGCTAAAGGCTCTAACAGCGTCTGTCTGCCTCTTTTATTTTATTCAGACTTTAGGGCAGGTAACACTCACACTCCTAATCCTAGTGCACTTGAGCCTAGCATTGCACTATGAGTCGCTTCCAGCATCACACACTCTAGATCCAGCCACCTCTGCAAAAGCTCCACCTATGACTGCATGAAGCTTTGGGGTGCATTTAGACACAAGCCATAACAGCCTTCAAGAAATTGAAATTAAAACTATAAGAATTACTTTATTCAACATTCTTGCAGTTTCATGGCAATAATCAAAGTGTACATACTAGTACTACTGGAAAACAGCTGAAAATAGCATTTTATGGTTAGAGGTGTAGATAAGGGACAAAATGAAAACATGTAAGCCCATTCATACTTAAGATGTTCCAGGGACAGTTTTTTACTAAACATGATTATTGATATGTCTGGTAAATATAGACATCTTTTAGAAGTAGCCTTAAGGTTATTTATAATATGTATGACAGTCTTTTAGTTTTCATCTAAGAATAACAAAAGTTGCATTTTTTTTCTTTTGCAGTGCTTTGGCAGTGATGGTAAACTGGTCCTGCATTATTGTAAATCTCAGGCATGGGGTTGAACCACACAGAAGAACAACTTGCTTCTCAAAATGATTTTTCATAAAGGAAATGGCTCTGAACAGTTTTGCTGCCAGTGGCAATAGGCCTAATGAATATGAACTGCTCAACATGTATCTGCTCTGACTCATTTATATGCATAAGAAAACATCCATAGAGTGAATCGATTCACAAAAAATGTCATAAATATTAATGCACAGATCATTGTAAAAGTTTGACATTGGAGCATCTCCATTGCTCCTGCCAATTAGTATGTTTGTTTCAGATCTGCCTCCAAGGAAAGGAGACTGAAACTATATAAACTTCTTCATTACCCGTTCTTAAAGTCTCTGAAATTGTTTACTCATACTACTGGCGCTCTTGATTTTTTTATGGTAAAAGTTAATTTATTAAAGGATTTTTTTGTGTTTTGTTTTGTTTTTGGAGCTTATTCAGGGATCCTCATTTTGTTTGGGAGAATGGGTTATATTTACAGTCTATCTTCTGTAATTCCTTATAAAACATGTTGGCTGAATACCTTACCTAGTCCAGTAGAGGGCAGCCCCGCTGGCCAAAAGGATTTGGCCGTTTGGTTTTACATCATTGCCAGGTGATAATAAGAGAAAATCCCCGTGGCCAGGGATTTCGCTCAGTGGTGCCACCATCTGCCTCGAAAGCAGAAGGACCTGAGTGAGATCCCTAGTACCAAAAGAAAAGACTTTCTTGGTAACTTCTAGCAGGGATCACAAGCATATAGATGAACTGAAGGACTTTTAGAGAATAAATATAATTATGTTGGGGAACAAGTAACTTTATAAATTCTGCACAAATGAGTCATGCACTCCGTAATGTATAATATGCAGGCTTACCCAACGACAGTGGTATTCAAACAGTCCAGTATTCACGACAATGAAGGCCATCACTGCAGAGCAGATCCTGGCATAGAGGATCTTAGGAACCCTTCAGTGGTCTCTTACACCCACCACATTCAGCGAACGGGTTAAACAGAAAGCCTGACGAGGTCTGGATGGTTGATTTCTATTCTCCATGGTGTCTCCCCTGTCAAGTCCTGATGCCAGAATGGCAAAGTATGGCCCAGACATTAACTGGACTGATCAATGTGGGCAATGTCGACTGCCAACAGTACCTTTCTTTTTGTGTCCAAGAAAATGTTCAGAGATACCCTAAGATAAGATTTTATCTCCAAAAAATCAAAGACTATCAGTATCATAGTTACAATGGTTGGAATAGGGATGCTTATTCCCTAAGTATCTGGGGTCTGAGATTTTTACCTCAAGTGTCCACAGATCCTGACACCTCAGACTTTTCAATGAAAAGGTTTTACAGGGGAAAAAATCATTGGGTGGTAGATTTCTATGCACCTTGGTGTGGACCTTGCCAAAATTTTGCTCCAGTTTGAGCTCTTGGCTAGGATGGTTAAAGGAAAAGTGAAAGCTGGCAAGGTAGACTGCCAGAAAGCCAGAATCCAAGCCTATCCCACTGTGAAATTTTATGCCTATGATAGAGCAAAGAAAAGTGTTTGGGAAGAGCATATAAGTGCTAGAAATGCAAAAATAATTGCTGCCTTCATTTATAGAAAATTGGAAACTCCAAAATCAAAAGAGAAACAAGGTTGAACTTTGTGGATGTGGAGATGAAGAAAAATTGAAAGAATTCTGAAAAATACCATCAGAAAAGGACGCCTTTTAAGAATACTAACTGCATTTATAATGGAAGTTAATGAACCCAGTCTTGTACTGATAAGAATTGCACTACCTGAAGTGTGTACAACACTGATGTAAAGGAAAAATCTGCAGACTTTCTGGAGGACACATCACAAATGTTTTAAGTTCTATGGACTGTATTTGTTTCTTTGTCGCATCTTTCTTGTTGTTGTTGTTGCTTTTAATGATTCTTTTAAAAAACAAAAACCCATTCTTAGCTCAGGGCCATACAAAAACAGATCACTGGCCAAGTTCATTCCATGGGCCTAGATTGCTGCCCCTAGAAACGTTTTGCTGTCTGGCTCTGCCATGAGCCTGTTCGCTGTGCACGGTGGAATATTTCTCAGTAAAAAGATGGAACTTGGTTATCAAAAACATGCAAATATAGGGGCCGGTGATTTAGCTCAGTAGTTGTGCTGCCTGCCTCCCAAGCACAAGATCCCGAGTTCGATCCCCCGGTACCAAAACACAAAAACATGCAAATATGGTAAAGTAGATTTAACATGCTTTCATACTGTTTTATACTGAAGAAATTCTCCATTTTGCTTTAAAAGAGGAAGAGATTTTTTATTTTTTACAATTGAGAAATTTTGCAACAGTAAGTATAAAAATCTTACGGACTGCTTTATCACTCAGAAAAGCCAGAAGGGGGAGAATTCACAGTGAGTAAATGGACCTCTAAGCTACTCCAACATAGCAAGTAGAGTTCTGTATTTTTTAAATGTGTGCATTTATTTTCTGAAATTGCTTTCATAAAAATTTTTCCACTGACTTCATTTTTTTGAGGCATCATTTCTAATATTTACATATTTACTTTCTGGATTTTCTATTTATTTACATTTATTTTTTCATAGCTGTGGTTTTTCCACTCCAATCTACTCATTCAAATAGGAAAAACTTTTATAGATTTATTTTACTGTAGCTCATAATGATACTCTGGTTGTTGCTGTGACTAACAATGTCAGAGGCTGCCTTTACCAGCTAAATGTTGGCATAACAAGTTATTTTTATAAGAAAATCAAGTATATAAATCTAAAATGGGATCTTTTAGTTCCTGGGTTGTTCTGATTCAAAAACGTCACAAAATTTTTCTTTGCATTTCAACAAAACTGCGAGTAACCTCTAGTTGTTTAGTTACAATTCAGAGTGTATGGAATGCTAAAAATTTCAACTTATCAAAAGAGGTTAATGAATAAAAACACTGCCTTTTCCCCCAAAAAAACCCCAAAAAACAAATGAGTCATGCAGTGCTTTTTAGTCGCGTCATTTAAGATTCTTTAGTCACAATGTTGTTACTTACACTTATTTATAAATGTCAAAAGAACTCGCTGAGTAAATCTGACAACATCGTGTTCATATTGTATTTTCCAAATTGAAAGCACTCACAGAATAATTGAAAAATAACATGTTATGTGTATTTTGTGTCATAACTAAGAGTATTGTTTTTACTGATGCTATTAGATGGGGCATCGTTCAAAGTGAGAGTCAATGTTTTTTTCTTCTGTATTTGTTATGCCGTATTTTAAAAAAGCATTCCAGTAAATCAAATTGAATGTCCACAAACAATCTAAGGTAAGTACTGGAGTTCCAAGTGTTTATTTTCAAAGGTAATATAGTTGGAATGATACAATTTTGTCAAAAGACTTGAGCTACACTTGGATCGCTTAAATCCCAGAATGTACTTTATGGCTAGTGGTCAACTACATGTTAACATTAGGAGATGCTAAGGAACAATTCATTTTACAGTGAAGTAGTAGCTGTCTAGTTCTCATTTTGTGCTTAAGAATGTGACTTCTTTATTTCCTGTTACGCCAAGGTCCCTTTGTAATAAATTACTACAGCCAATAGCAAAGGAATAGTACTGATAAGGTGAATTGTACAAAATTTTAACATTAGGAAAAAATCTCAAGTTAGATGGTTATGGAAAAGATGTGTTCTCGGCTTTTGGTTTACTGAAGGAATATATGTATAGACACTTAAGAAATAGCAAATACCTGAATTTATGTATCACATTTGTCACTGATACATCATATAATAGAATATTTACTACCTCAGTCAAAAATACTTGAGTTTGAATTTGTAAGATCAACTTAATCTATTTCATTTAAAAAACTTACTAGCTTATTAAGTCTATGGGTAGAGTTAGAGACATAACTCAGTGGTAGAGGCCTGGTATGAGGTCTTGAGTTCAATCCCCAGCACTGTTCATTAAATGAATAAATTTAAGATTAGCTAAATATAGATATGTTACTTATTTTCATCCATAACTACCTTGAAGAATATGTAGGACCTTTAGCTTTTACAAACCCTATTTACATTGTCTCTTGATTTAGTCTTTCTTCACTAGCTTTACAGCATTTACTTGAATCCCTGTAATCCCTGAGTTAATTAGGAGGCTAGAACCAAAAATTGTTTATTCATAAATATTAATGTAAAATTTTGCTTTGTCTTCTTGTACAAAGACCCACAGCACATAAAGTGATATGATAATTAGCAGACTATGCTCCCATTTTTGAAAGTATTTGCTTCATAGAGTTCCTCATATTTAGGTCACCAGGTTAAGAATGTTTTATCTATAATGAAGATAAAATCAGATACTTCCTGGAATCCTGATTTCTAGAAGTTTTAACTTTAAAGGGACTTTAAATATGTTCTTTCATTAAATGAAGAAACTAAAAACTGTAAAATGTGTCTCAAGCTGTATAATACAAAGTTGGAAAACATTTGATGATATTGAAGGAGTATAAAAATGAAAAACCTTTCATACAGCTTCTGCCTCATTTCCAAGGACTGTAGTACTTTGAGTAAGTTTTTAGCACTAGGGAAGCCAGCTATGGGCCACATAAAGACTGGAAAAGTATTCAAAAATGGTTAAGTGTGTTTAGTTTAATCTTAATATTATGAACCTACCTGAATCACTCAAGGTGACTTCTCCCTTAATAAACTACCACTATTAATCACTTAACTGCATAATATTATGAGATCCCTGATTTGGAGGGTGGGATGTTACTTGGTACCTACACATACTGAGTGATTTAGCTTAGAAAAGCAACAATGAAGGAAATTGAAAAATATTTTGTATGGCAGAAGGTCATCAGAATTTTAAAGCTTTTAATTTGTGCAGAACTCATTTTAGCTGACAAAGCAAAACAGCTGAAAAATAAAAAAATTATCCAGGGACTGTGAATGTAGATCAGTGGCAGAGCCCTGGATTCAAGAAAGAAAAAAATGCAAGGCAAAAGGAAAATGACCAATAAAGCATGAAATTTTGGCAGTTGGTTGCAAGGCCTTTGGAAAATAACAAGGAAGGATTAGGCAGTGGTGGGTAGGGTTGTTTAGCCCTGGTGCCTTCCAGGCAGAATTAACAGCTCTGGTAGCTGAAGAGCACACTGGAGTAGATTTTCTAACCTACTTCATTGACATCTCAAAAGGGGTTATAGAGTGCACTTGGCATGTAAACGTAGGGACTCTGGGCTATACCTACCCAGAGAAGATGAGACCATGAGTGTGGGGACAGAATGAGATTTAGAGAGTGAATGTGCCCGTGTAAGAAAGATCTTTAAGGTATTTAGGGATTAAAAAAAAAAAAAGGAATGAAGTGAAGATCAAAAAGAGGAAAGTGGAAAATGAATTGTCAGAAAATTTGAAGAGTCACCTGAAATGCTGAGAAGTTAAGCTTGTATTTGATTTTTGTTCATTTCATACATTAATGGATTAGGTAGCTGAAATAAGAGACTCAAAACATTAACAAAACAACAAAATTTTTTAGTAAATAATGAAAAGCACAAGTTACTTGAGCCCCTCTTAATCACCTCCCAGGGGCAAAACACACCACTAAGGCTAGCTTCTAGGATGCTTTTTTGTTTGTTATTTGTTGTTTTTTTTTTTTTTGGTACCGAGGATCGGACTTGGGATGAGGGAGGCAGTGGAACCACTGAGCTAAATCCCTGGCCCTGTTCGTTGTTTTTTGAGATAGGGTCTCACTATGTAGTTCAGGCTAGCCTTGAACTCACTATGTAGCCCAGGCTGGCCTCGAACCTGTGGCAATCCTGCCTCGGCCTCCCGAGTGCTGGGGCTGCAGGTGTGCACCCACCACCACGCCGGCTGTAGAATGATTTCTACCTGCATTCTTTTTTGAATAATGGCGATTGAGCTGCTGTTTTTCCTTAACAACATTATTAGTACATTAAAATATGACATTGTGGTACAATTAAACTGTATTTTATATAGTGGGGGAGGGGCACATAGGAAAAAACCAGACCATTTTGATGGAACTCGACCTTTAATAATCGTAAACCCAATTTATTCCCTGGATCCATTTATAATGAGAAGAAATCCATAGTTGCATTCAAATTACTGTATAAATTATCTCTTTATCCCCCAAAAGCCACCTCACCAACAATTGAAACATTAGATTCTCTGCACTGGAGCTTTCTGGTTTTTTGAGACAAGATCTCGCTATATAGTTCAGGCTGGCCTCGAACTCATGATCCTTCTGCTTCGGCGGGCTAGGGTTACAGGCCTGTGCTACCGTTCCTGGCTCTGGACGTCTTCAGACAATGTTTGACTTTAAAATCAAGCCTGGAATACGTGGCTTTCCATTGTTTCATCAGTCTAACCAGAACCCCAACTCTCCTGTTAAAACGGACTTAACACTATTGTACATTAAAAACAAAAACAAAAAAACCCTTCGTTTTCATTTGGCCTGGGGTATATAATCAGTAGATCCTAAGGATAAAACAGTGGCTCTCTACCCTGGAGGTGGACTCATCTTCAACCTTCTGGGGCGTCTCAGGACTCCTCTCCTCTTTTGGAAAGAAAGGGCCCCCAATCCCCTTCCTTCGTCCGCATCCCGCAGAAACCCCACCCTTTCTGCTGGTCCCCGTACAGGAGCCCCACAGGGAGGTGGCGCCCTGAGAAGCCTGGGACGGGTGCCGACCCGCTGTCCGGCGGGCGAGGGGAGCACGGGGAGCCGCCCCGCCTCTGCCACTTGCTCGGGCTGCTCCACGCCCCGGCCACCCCCAGGGCCTTGGTACGTTCCAGCGGACTTTGAGGGTTTAAAAGGCCGGGAGCACGAATTTCGCAGCTTTCGACTGTGCGCAAAGCCGGTCCCGGCTGCCTGCAGCATCGCCGCGCTGCCCGAGAGCCCCGTGTCTCGGCAGCTGTGCGCGGGCTTTCCGTACCTCTGGCCCCGAGTATCTGTGGGGTTTACGTGTGTGACGCCGTCTCGCCTGCAGCAAGGGTCCCTCGCTTGCTCCACTAGCCCAGCTGCTGCCGCTCAGCCGGCGGGAGACGCGCGCGCTCCAGAGCATGGAGCAGACCGAGGTGCTGAAGCCGCGGACCCTGGCTGACCTCGTCCACATCCTGCACCAGCTCTTCGCGGGCGACGAGGTCAACGTGGAGGAGGTGCATGCCGTCCTGGAAGCCTACGACAGCGACCCTGCCGAGTGGGCGGTGTACGCCAAGTTCGATCAGTACAGGTGAGAGCGCGCCGGCCTCGCTTGGGTTTGGCCCGTCGCGCCCGCCCTCTCGCACCCCGACTTGGGGTCGCGGGGATGGCGCCCTGCGCCGTGGGCTCCGAGGCCTCCGCCTAGACAAGGTGGATCTTGCTGTCGCCACTGGCCAGACACTGCTCGCAGGAGGGCCGGCGCCCAAGGGTTTTTCTTCCCCCCTTACCCGAAAACTACTCCGCTGCAAAGCACACTAACGCTCCCAGCCTCAGGAGCGATGCCCTCCTCTCCGAGCGACTGCCGACCCCAAAGTCGGAGGTGCACGGAGACCCCGCAGCTGGACCCAGGCTCCTACCCGCCTGTCTCCTGGAGGACCTGACTGGTTGTACCAGCGGAGGTGCTTCCAGACAGAAGTACATCTCCGCTGTCGAGAAAAAGGGGTGGTGGGGGCACATTGTTCCCCACGTCGGTTCTCCGTCACTATGCCTTGGGTCACTGGCAACCAAGCACCTTCCAACAGGCATTTTCCCAATGTAAAATAGCGTCTTGGTTTTGTCAACTGCTACTACTCGGTTGTTTCTGCTGTTTGCACTTCCAAACCGATTTAGCCTCCTCGACTGTGGGCTTATTTAAATTCACTATCAGCGTTCGAAAATTAAGCACACTTCTGTCTTTTCAGTCCCCAAACCATTGGCTTACTCTTATCCTAAGATGCATGGATCTGTAATATACTTGGAAGACCACTGCCTCATTTTTTATTTGGAAAGAGGCTTTCGGAATTTATTTTGGTTCCTATCAGCTCAGTTCCTGGGCAGGTCCTCTGTTAATAAGCTACCAGAATCTAGCATTTAAATTTGTTCTGCACTTGCTCCAGATAAATGAAAACTTGTTATGGGCTAGGTACTCCTTCCAGTCACTTCACACAGCACAGCCAGCTGCCATTCTTGTCCCTGTTTTACAAGCAGGGACTAGTTGGCAAATGGGAAATGGAGAGGGTGAATAAACTGAACAAGGCTTCACTTCTATCAGGGTCAAATAAATCTAATTGTTCTGAAGCCCATACTCTAGATCACTATTGAACTTCCTCTGGACACATGACACTGTAATAGCTTTATTACAGTATATATCTGACTATAGTATTGGCTAAGTGAAATTAATTAACCAGGGTGTATTGTCACCAATCTTAATCTTTAGAACCAGAGCCTTGCATTTGCTTTTGAATGAGCTGCACAACTCATTAAGATAATAGTATGGTCCAAGTATAGTCCAGCATGGACAGGTAAATAGGGAGTGAGATGGAAGAGCAGAAATTCTATCATATTACAGCATAGAATATAGGTGTCTGGAACTGCTGCTCTGTGGCATTGGAAGTGGAGGGGGGGTGTTGTGCAACATAGAACCAGTAGAGAATGTGTTCCACAGAATATGGCTGGCCAGTGTGGGCCAGACAGTAAATTCTCTGGAAGAAGGCAGAGAGAAACAAGAGGTAACCCTAAGACTGGCAGAGAAAGAAGAAAGATCCTGGTGTACGAACCCAGATTACTATAAATTAAAGGCTGTGTAGAGTCACAAAGTGAGGAGGAAAACTGACCGATAAAAGCATTTACTAAACAACTCCCTCAAGGATCATGCTCTGTAGGCACCTGGCCCTGAAGGAGGGGAGGGATGGGAAGGGACAGAAGGGGCAAATGAAGCAGGTGTTAACAGATGACCAAGTGAATGAACACTACCAAAACTGCAGTACTGATCCTTTTCCTTAAAAATAACAGGCTCAGCTGTGTCCACTTTTTCTTGTGGACCTCTTCTTTTGCTTTGAGTGAAGAATTGTCTTGGGCCACATATAAAATATATATAGTTAATGTATATAAGTAACACAACTTCCTTTCTTGAATATTTTTATTATAACACTTTTTAAAAACAGGGTAAAAAAGAAAAGATGGACTACAGGTTGGCCAGGCCTGACTGGATGTCATAACTATCAACTTTTGCTGATTAGACAGTAACAGTATTACCTGTTGGACCAACAAGAACTTTAAAGTTGAATCCTTCCCACCCAGTATAGTGACAGTATGGTTATGATAGCTGTTTTGGTTTGGATTTCTTTTTTCTTTTTTTTTTTTTTTTGGCCAATTATTGATTTCTCTTGTTTACTGTTCTTCCCTAATGAAGCCTTTGTTCTGGTACTTGGGTCAACCCCCACCTCACTTGTGGAGAACTTTTCATTATAATTGCTTTTAAATGTGGTTTGTGTCTGGGCTTTAATAGTGAAACTACAGAGAATTCTAGAAGAGCTATTTAATGAAACCTTGTTTCTCCAGTCCTGTTTAGCTACAGGGAAGAACAGAGCTCAAGACAACAGTAGCATTCTTCCCTAGAGTAGTAGTATGCTTTACAAGTACCTTCCATGAGAAATTTAAACTTTTTTTTAATCAGTTTGATAACTGGCATAGAAATATGGAATTTGTTTTTTGTGATGTTGTTGTTTCTTGTTATGTTTTTACACCACTGGTCAAAACTGAGCTGCTATGTGGTGATTAAAAATACAGAAAGGTCTTTGTCATCATTCAGGGACCAGCAAAACAAAACAAAATCTACAAAATACAGAAAGGTCAAAAATCAATTGTAAAAAATATTTTTCATTTGTGCTGGATTTCTAATTACAAAACCACATTCAAAGTTGCTTAGAGATAGAACTATTAACATTTCTAGATGTGTAGTGCTTTGTAACACTTATTTTTCCTAATCCTTATTTCAGCAATCAAATTTGAACTTCTGAATCTGTTCTTTTCTAGGTATACCCGAAATCTTGTGGATCAAGGAAATGGGAAATTTAACCTGATGATTCTGTGTTGGGGTGAAGGACATGGCAGGTAACATAACCATTCCAGATATTTCTGTAGTGCATTTGGCCCAGAGGATGAAAAGTACACAGTGCCAGCCTAGCCACTAATTTTGCAAGGACTAACAGGTCACATTTCAAAATTATTACTTCACATTGTCCTCCAATCCCAACAAAAATTCCCATGGGAATTAGCATAGGGGTTCAGATATTTACTGTGTACATGAAAACCAGTTCCCAAAATGAGTAGTAAATCAATAGAGCTTAATAGTCACTTAATTTAACCTCTTCTTCTATGGAGTTAAACTTTTTAAGGAATTGTGTTTGAGCCTGACCTTTGTGGTGTTTGAGGTGTGTAAATAATTGTGGGACCAAAGACCAAACCAGATTTGGAGCTGGAAAAACATTTCACAAATTCAGAGGATTTCTTCCTACTTTAAGCTAATTATTTAGCTTTTTTACCTTGAATGCAACTTAAACTAAAACTGACTCTTTAACAATTGGTTCCTTTTCTTTAGTTTGTGCATTTGCCAGTCTTATTTTCAATTGAATATTATCTTTTTAAAAGATTCTTCTCAGTTTTTGAGAATGATACAGAACAATAATCCACATCTATTTTTGATGGGGAAAGGACAAATAAATATTTAAGGCTTTAGATAGTTAGCTCTATCAAGTATATTTATCTCATTCATTGAATATTATTTGTGAGCAGATTATCAAGGATAGGCCAGGCTCTAGGGTCTTAGATAGGCCAGGCTCTAGGGACTTAGGAAATAAGGTCTTATGATACATATATAGGTTAATAGAATTCAACATATGAAATAAATGCTAAAAACATACAGGTTCAGTTTTTTTGTTCTTTGTTTTGTTTTGAGACAGGGTCTTGCTGTGTCAGGCTGGCCTTGAACTTGCAGCAGTCTTCCTGCCTCAGCATCACAAGTGCTAGGATTACAGACATGTACCACTAAGTCTGGCCATATACAAGTTCATATATATTAATCATCCCTATACTACTTCATACACCTAAATACAGTGGACTTTTGACTTATGAACTCAATTCATTCATGAGGGCTGGTTGTAACTCAAGTTGGTCAATTGAAGGCTCAGGCTCCTCTACACAGCCTTCACAGTCTCTCTCCTGTACAGACAGATCTCAGTGTCCTTAGAGAGACACTGGCCCAAGATTTCTCAATTAACCCCACACAGGAAAGGATGTTGTAATGTTCCTTCCCGAACTCTTAAAGTATCTGAGACATCTGGAAACACAAGCGGCTGGCATTTGAGTCATAACTCAAGACTTTCATCATAAGTTAAAACTAAAATTCTGGTCATAACCCAAGTTGTTCGTATGTCAGGCTGGCTTTAACTCGAGGTCCACTGTACTATTTATTCTAAGATCAAATACAGCTTATTTTCTCCCACCAATACTGAGAGATAACCACAGACTGGCTATTCTAAACTGTAAAATATTAACATTTTATATACTGTACAGTATAATTTTAGGGGGATAAAATGCATACACATCTTTCTTAGCCCCCAAAGGAAAGAGAAAAGAAAAAGAGTATAGGGGAAAAAAACCCACTAAATAATATACTAAGTAATTTTCTCAGTGTGTACAGTTACTATAGATAATTATCTTTATTCTTTTAAAAATTTCTCTAATGTACTTTTGTTTTTATATTTACTGTTTTGTTATGTGGTACTGGGGATCAAACCCAGGGGCTTAAATACTAAGCAAGCATTCCACCATTTCTAAGATATGTTCATAATCGAATTCTAACTCAGCTTAAGTGAGCTACTAAAGGCTAGATTTTGAAGCAGATAAAAGGTTGCTGGTTTTATTAACAAATTAGTATAACAACATTTTAAAAATTAACTACTCTTCACTATGGGCATGCATCAGAACTGTGCCCCCTTTCACTATGGTAGCATATGCTTGTCACCAGCTACTTGGGAAGTTAAGGTAGAAAGATAGTGAGTTCAAGGCCAGCCTAGGCAACTTAGTGAGAACTTTTCTCAAAATAAAAGAGGCTGGGAACATGGATCAGTAGCAGAACACTTGACTAGCATGCACAAAGTCCTGTATCTAATCCCCAGTGCCACCAATAGAAAGAAAAGAAAAGGGAAAGAAAAGAAACCTGAATCTCTCATATCACTTGATACTGATGACTTGTTATTTTATGACTTCACCATGAACAATGTTGAATTGTACATTGATAACATTTTAAAAGTCCACCTGAAATGGATTTGGGCCTAGAAGATGTCCTCCTGACAGTATGTAGATATCAGCTCAGGGCAGACTGGATAATAGATCAACTACTGAGTTCCGTTGTCATTTGTGTATTAATAGCAGTATTCATGATCACACGGATTCCCACTGCTTTCTGAAAATGCTTCAAGGAAATCTAAAGGAGACATTATTTGCCTGGCCTGACAAAAAATCCAATGAGATGACCAAGAAGTCTGAAAGAACCTTGAGAGAAAACCAGTGTGCCTACATCAATGGTAACATCCTGTCCTTTCTCTAGGGACAAGTGGGGAAAACTGAATTTTTATCTGAAATAGTGATTGCTTACACATGTGTAGTGGATCCTGCCATGGAGTCACAATTTAAAATACTTGAGAAATGACTGAAGCACAGTGGGTTTTGTTTTTCAAGGCTTCGAATCTTGGTTGGAATAACTTATATAAAACATATGTATGCAGGATAGCATCCATTGAAAAGTCGTTTACCTGCCAAAATTTAGAACAGTTAGACTATAATATGAATTTATATTTAGTAGAGCCAACAAAAGGGATCAAATTGGGACTAGTAGTCTGTTTGTTAGAAAATGTAAGGAAATGTTCTGGAAGTGATTAAGAACACTGGCAAGTCTCTATTTTTCTAAAATGCATACAGCATAACTAAATGACTTTCCTCATGATTTATAGATATCTAAATATGAATTCATTCTTTCTCCTAAATATGGTATGAGAAAAGTAAATGCTTCTCAGGAGAGGCAGTGCTTTAGCTTTTATATACCTAAAAGGGACAGTATCGCTCTCAAAAACTCAATAAAATATGAGATAAATAATATATAGGAAAGTTAAATACCTTTTCTGCGGTCACTCAGCTTTTGAGTAGCAGCCAGGATTTGAACCCAAGTAACTTGGTTCCAAAGCACGTGTTCTTAATCAAGATGCAAACTCATTATATAAAATAAAGTATGGCAGATGTTTTTCTGGCAGTGCCAGTTCGTCATACATCTTAAAGTCTAGTGTTAGTCTTGATACTTGGCCTAAATTTATCACATCATTAGGTCAGGAATGCAAGTCACTTGCAAAAGTCAGATTGTGTGAGAAGCTTTTTTTCCTCTCTGTTCACATAACACAAGGCCTAGTTTTCTATGTAGTACAAAACTCAAAATTCATTCTTTAAAATATTTGAGAGTTGCCATATATAAGGTATGCCATATTTACAAGAACAAGGTTGTTGCCTGTACTATACACAATCAAGACAAAAGCCTTTCAAAATAGTGATCTTCAGTTGAAGTCAGTCTGAGATTGGATACTGAGAAATACGTAAGCTTTTTGCAGAAGTTTGTATAAGCCACGCCTGCACAGTCAGGAGTAAAGCAGGATGGGACATGGCTGTGGTGAGATGAGTGAACTGGAGTGTGCAGGATACCCAAGGGGACAATGGTGTCACCCACCAATGAGATCATCCTCATTTCTTTTTCCATAGAAGCTAGAAATGTTAGTTTTTATTTATTTGACTTTTTGCTAATCTATAAAATATTAAGTGAGATGTACTAAATATTTTTGTAGACTAATTATCCAAATAACTGAAAACCCACAAATTTTTAATCTCTGATTTGTACAGATCCCAGATTAAGGCCATAGATGGATAATGAACAGAAGAAAGATGAAGAGCATGAGTGAAGGCACAGTGCTTGCAGAGTGGAAACTTCAGGAATGGGGTCAAAGGGGAGGGAAAGGGGAAGAGTGGGCTTGGGTGGGGTTAGTAGGAGAGGAAAGCAAGATAACCAACTATCGGGGCTGCCAGAACCAGCAGCATAGTGTAGAGGAGAGGAGATAAATGGAGCAAGGAGATCAAGTTTGGACAAAAAGTCCATAGAGCATGCATGTAACTGTCCTTCATAAATATCACCAAGACAGACCCCAGTATTACTGAGGGTACACTATGAACATAAAGGAAAAGGAGGCAAGGATCAAAATATAAGAATGATGATGCTGGGAATAACAGTAAGGCTCATACGTGGACTTGGGCTCAGCCAAAGGATGGGCATTTTGTTTTTGCAGTGTTTACTTGCAAGATCGTCCACCAGAACTTGAATGGTGTGTATAACTACTGTTGAAGAGACAAAATATTATTTGTATAAAGGACAGTCAGTTCTTAGGAGTATTGAACATTTGTTCAGAATTGTCCTTAAGCCAATGTATTATGAAAGCAGCAAGCTATAGAATCAGAGCATTTGCTGGTCTGAGAATTGCGTTCCACTTTTAGAAACAAGGACTACTGCAAATCCTTGAAGTTGTGCTTGTTCAAACATAGCCTTACAAGTCACTTTTAGAACCTAAGTCTTCTGCTTCTAAACTTTCTTCTTCAAAAAATCTCAGAATTCAGCTCCTGCACCTCGATTGGTAATTCAGTTGTACATGGGTTGTAACTTGGCAGATGTCATCCCTCAGAACTATAGTCTTTTTGTTTTTCAGTTTCCAGTTTATGTCTAAAGCCTGCTGCCATTCTGACTCTTACCTCTTTCTATGAAACCTATTTGTATTTCTAGGAATTTTTGGAATATCTTTTGGTGCTTTCATTTTGTCCCCAGTATTGTAAAATTTCACAGTAATGTATCTTGGTTAATGACTCCTTCACTGGGCTGGGTACTCAGTAGGTTCTTCGAATCTGGATATTTGTGTTCCTCAAAGAAGTACTCTTGGGTTATGTCTCATTGTAGTGGTGTTTCTGAAATTAAGATTTTAAAAATTCTGAATTATTCCTCTGATTTTCCCCCCTCTGTCTTATTTTCTACATGTCTTTTTTTTTTTTTTTTTAAACCCCTTCAGCTTTTTCTGCCAACTCTGCTATTCAGGTATTTATTTCTAAAAGCTCTTTTACTTTCTGGTCCCTTGTTCAGGACTTTATCTCTCATGGGACATTCATGATAGGCTTTTTTTTGTTCCCGGGGATTGAACTCAGGACCTTGTGCTTGCCAGGCCGGCGGAGGCACCACTGAGCTAAATCCCTGGCCTCTATGTTAGGCCTTTTTTTTTTTTTTTTTTGGTACCGGGGATTGAACTCTGGTCTTTGCGCCTGCAAGGCAGCAGCGGGGGCAGCTGAACCACTGAGCTAAATCCCCGGCCCATGTTTGGCTTTTTTAAAGTCTTCTAAGTAGCCTGTGTTTCAAGTTGCCTTTTTCAGGTAGCTGTGGTCTGTTTTCCATACTAGAAACGAGCTCCAATATCTGATTATATGGTAATGTGTAAAAACCAGGGACAAAAAAGTTAATTGATAGCTCTGAACACAGGAATGGGACTTGTCAGTAGATTTTACTTTGATTATCTGGTGGAGACCTGTCCGTGAGGAATTCCCAATATCAGTATCTTTAGGGCTTTTTGCTTGAGCAATAAAATGCCTTGAGAACTGCTTCCCATCTTCTTCCTGGAGGAAAAAATCCTGTCTGGCACCTGGATGGTGGGAAAAACAGGAATCTTATTATTCACTACTTAAAGTTTTACTTAATGCACCTGTTTTTTCTTGGTGTCCACCCAGTCTCCAGTTCATCCACTGATTGTACTCTTTGCAGAGAATAGATCTCAGTCTTCTGGAGGAAAAGGGAAGGAAAATTGGTGAAAGAGATTTTAGATTCTTCTCCTTAAATGGGCTTCCAATCAGTTAGTGTATTTTACCTCTCTCTTCACTGCCAATTCCTGAGCCAATTGAGAGTTTCAAGATACAAATCAGGTTACTTCCTGGATTTCCCCACAAATCGTGTAAGATCTCACTATCTCTCTTTGCAAAGCCATCCATCTTTCAAGCTTTCACACTTTTATTAATGTTTTCTCTTTTCCTATTTTCTTTGCTTCTGTATGTCAGTGTCTTTTTAAAAAATTCTTTTATTGCAAGGGAAAGGGGTTTTTAGGAAGGAGCAAAGGTGAATGCATGCACATCACTTACTATTTTAACTAGAAATTCTAACTAATTTCTGTTAATTCCATATACCTCCATATTTATTCAAAATCATAGATGATTAACAAATTTTTAACCTCAGCTATCATCTAAGCTCCTGCATCTTTTCTTCCCTTTGTGATACTGTTCAGATTCCATTGGCTTACATCGAGTAGAGAATATCAGCCATACAGAACCTGCCGTGAGCCTTCACCTTTACAGTCCACCTTTTGATACATGCCATGCTTTTGATCAAAGAACAGGACATAAAAACAAAGTCACCATGACATTCCACAGCAAATTTGGGATCAGGACTCCATTTGTAAGTATAATTTCTCTCTTCTGGGTTTAAATGTCTTATGGATTAGTAATATTCTGTTGTATGTACTCCTGCTGTTTTAAATATTTGAATTCCTCAAGTGAAGAAGCACTCTTGAAGAATGAGCTGAACTTTAACTCCAGGGAAAGACTCAATATATAATTATTTCTTAAAATTTGGAGACTATATTTAAATTAATTTTTTAAAAAACATTAAATTAGATACAAAGAATTAATCATTGAGAAACTTCAAAGTGTATGCTCATTCTTAAAGAAAATGTTTTCTCTTTGTTTGAGAAATGAGTAAAATCTTACTTGATAGAAATGTTACTGCTATGACTTACTATTCCTAGTGTGAGACTGAACAACAGTTACTCCATTTTGTAATAGGGCCCCAACTTGTCTCTTTCTGTTACGGATCACCAGGTAGACATTGAGTTCCAAGGATGTGCTTGTTGTTGTGGCAGGAAGGTCTGTTGTGTGTGCATTGTTCCGTCATGCTTGCCCAACTCCATATCTGAACATATTATCTTAAGAACAATCTGTAAAAGTTCCTTCTGCATTTTGCTTCTGTGTTTCTGCTTGCCACCTCCCCTCTAGCATCTCCTATAACAGGACCTCACCCTCTGAGCCAGTTGCCTCTCTAAGCTACTTGGCTTTGGGAGTGCCATCTGGCCAGACTAATAAAGGTCTGTTTTACTTTCCATCTTGTCTGGTGTGTTCCTTCCCGGGTGTCCTTCGCTACAGTCAGCTCCTCGGAGCGTTTGGTAAGGCCCTCGGTCTTACACTAGGTCTAATTTGCTGGGGAAACACATATAAGTTGCATAGTTAGCCTTTGTAAAGTTGAGACTCTTCTGATGTAACTTGTCTGTTTTGATTGCTTTTTCTCTGAGATATGATATTATTTAGATCACAGATAAGTGAAAATGGACTTAACTAGCATTGTGTGTATGTGTGTATGTGGTAGCCTTGTGCATGATAGGCAGTTCCTCTAGTAGTGAGCCATACACCAGTCAGCCCCTGTTTCTTCTTGAGGAACAAGCATTTGCACTTAAATGTAATCAGGCAACCAACTAACACTAATGTGATATGTCTGTCTTCTATATCTGGTGAAATAAATTGGCTCTTGGGAGGAATGGGCTTTATTTAGTTATTGGAATGTCCAAAAGTAGACAGTATATGAAAAAAGAGACTGAAAACAATCCCTTTGATTATTAATGAAAGCACAGCCTTGGAGAGAAGCAAGGGTAGAATTTTCTCATGTTATTTCCCTATTATGTCTTTACCTTGTACATTCTGAAATATAAGATATCCTTATCACTGGAACAAAACAAAAAGGCTTCACTGCCATGGCCAAATTTTCATATAGTGCCAGAAAATTAAGACTACTTTGAACAAACGATAATGCCTTGTTGAAGATTCTTTCACAGCTTTCTCTTATCTTGTCTTACAGCCAACTTCAGGTTCACTGGAGAACAATTAAGAAGCACCAACTCTGCAGTTTTTTGCTATAAGGTCTGCTGAATGTTTGCCTTGGACCAGAAGGCCTTCCACTGTTTGATGTCCAGTAATACACATAAATAAGCCAATACTTAGATCTACTGTAAGACAGATACTAATGATAAGGCATTAATAAGCAAATAATGCCCTGAGCTACTGCAAAAAAAAAAATACCATTAAAAAGTCTTGAAATTTTAAAGGCCAAATCAAGTGCTCTTCTGGTTCTATCCTTTAATTCCACTGCAACCATACTGGGAGCTTCAAGGAGGTTTTTATTTTGTTTTGTTTTGTTTTTTTAACCTTTTGGAAATACTTTAGTCTCTGAACTGTAATTAGCAGTAAGTATAAACAAGAATCCAGATATCAACTGTCTGCTCTATTATCTGGAGGACTAAATGTAGATGTTTTTAATATACTTTGTATGCTCTTAATATTTGAAGAGAATTTTTGGATTTTGGATTTTATTTTTTCAATATTTTACAAATTCCTTTTCTATGGGTAATAGAGAAACTTAAGGCAATTTTTCTCTTGGTAATGAGCTGAAAGGCAGGGAATTTACTTTAAAATATAATGTACTCAAACCTACAGTAAACCAAAACAAGCCCATGTCTAATGCGTCCTATGGTCGTAGACCTTTGTACTGCTCCCGGAATTGCCAAATAATTTTAATAAAATTTGATTTGAACTCAATTTGAAGTTGTCTTTTTGAAAAACTTTATAAAAGTCATTGTTTCTTAGATTTAGAGTACCAAAAGCACTGTGAAAGATGCTTTTATGATGTAAGACTGTGAGAGCCCAAAAACTACATTCAAAAGCAGTTTGCCAGATTGGGCATGTAGCTCCAGTGTAGAGTATTGCATAACACACACACACACACACACACACACACACACACACACACACACACACACACTGCCCTGAGTTTGATACCCAGAATGAGAAAAAAGAAACAACCAAGGACCTATGGCCCTGGTATGGCTCATAAACATGATCTGTTTTGCCTGAAAATTGTGTGTATGTGTGTGTGTGTTTAAATGTGAATTGATTTCCAGAATTTAAAAATTAGAGATTTGGGCTGGGGATATAGTTCAGTGCAGAACACTTACCAGCATGTACAAGGCCCTGAGTTTGATCCCTACAAAAAAAAAAAAAAAGGAAAGAAAAAAGGGAATTTTATAGAAGAAGGTAAATATTTCAAATTTCTTGAAAGTTTGAAGTATCTGAAAATAGCAGGCCTATACTACATATTCATTGTCACCAGTGAGACCAGGGTCTGCCCCTCAGAGGTGCCACCTCTCCAGTCAGGTACAGCCAGCTCTTAGCTCATCTCTTTCTTTGTTACCTGCAGAGCTGCACATGCATTTGATTTTGCTGCCTGAGTTATATGCACTTACCTTAGAAATATCTGTTATAATCTCAGTGAATTCTCTCTGGAAACTTAATTATAGGCTTTTAAAAATAGTTCCTAGTTGTGTTGTTTATATTATCTCATAGAATTATTCATATACTAGCTTCTTCCTACCTTTGAAAAATACCAACATTTATTTAATCCTTACTACAAAGTAGGCAATTGATGCAAGTTGTTCAGATCTACTAACAAACTTAGTTCTAAAAAGCAAACTTCATGAATTAGAAGACAGTTGGTTTTCTACTGCTACTATATTACTACATGTTTAGTGGCTTAAATCAGCACAAATTACCCTTCAGCTCTGAGGTCAGAAGTCTTGACCATTTCACAGGGCTAAAACCAGGGTATTATGAGGGCTACATTCCTTTATAGGTCCTGGGTAGGATCTGTTGTGCTTTGGTTTCCCAGCCTCCTGTTTTCCCTTTCCTCTAACTTTAAAGGCAGCAGTGGCAGGTTAAATCCTTCAACATCTCATCACTCTGAGATAGTCTTCCCTCTCCTTTTCTACTTTAAGGACTCATGATTAGATAATATCTCCATCTTGAGGTCCCTCTAGTCACACCTGTAGAGTCTTTTTTGCTACAGAAGGTAATATTCATAGGTAATGGGAATGGAATATGGATGTGTTGAGGAAAGGAAGGACTCCCGCCTGTCCCAGTTTACCCTTTGGCCCCCAGTGAGCCATGTCTATCCTGCACGCAAAATAGATTCACCATCCCTGGCTCTCCAAAGTCTCCCATTGTAATATCAACTCAAAGTCCAAAACTCTTAATCTCACCTAAATTAGTTTCAGGGAAGGCTCTTGTTACAATCCATCCTGAGATACAATTCCTCTCTCTATGCAGATAGATTGATCATGGTTAAGAAACTTACCAACTGGGCCAGGGATTTAGCTCAGTGGTTCCGCTGCCTGCCCCGCAAGCGCAAGGACCCAAGTTCAATCCCCAGTACCAAAAAAAAAAAAAAAAGAAGAAACTTACCAATGATATGCAGCCAAGATATTAGAGAACTAAGATGTAGATACAGGATTTGATTTCACGCAACATTTCTCTAAAGCATTGTCTTTATATTTGGGCCTTTTGAGGTATTATAGTTGGAATCTAAAATGTCCCCAAAAGGCTTATTGTGCTGAAGGCCTGGGTGCCAGCTGATGGGCTTTGAGGAAGTAATTGGGTCATTAGAGCTATAATAATGTCAAGTGAATTAATCCATTGATGAGTTCATTAGCTAAATGAAATTATTAGACAATGGGACCTAAATGTATGAAGCAAGTTACTGGGAGCCTGGCTGTGAATCGTGTATTTGGTCTCTGGCTTCTTCTCTAGGTTTTTCCCCTTTCTCTGCTTCCCAGCCACTATGAGGTGAGTGGCTTTGCTCTACCATACCCTTCTACAAGGGAGCCGGTTTACCATGAATTGAAACCTCTTAAACCATGAGACAAATATTTCCTCCTCTAGGTTGACTTTCTCAGATGTATTGTTATAACAATGGGAAGATGACACACAAGGTAAATTTGAAGCCTGGGCCATTTTTGTGTCTCTTACCATGTTAAAAATATTATGGTATAGTTATAAATTTTATATATAATATTTAATAATTATTAAATAAATAATAAATTAATAAATATTTAATAATTAGCAGTATTAACACACAAATGAGGTAATAAATACCTGATGAGTGACAAGGATGGCAAAATGTAAACTTGAAGGTCCTGTGAATACGAGGCTCTAGCCAGATAGCCACGCTGGCAGTGCTGCCTGCCCTTTCCTCTGCCCTTGTGATTGGCCCTGCTTGCTCCAGCCCATGACAACATTCCTGCAGGAGCAGATGTGCTGGTGCTCCTCCCAGAGTTCAGGACTTTCTTGGGTCACCCAGGTGTTTGCACACGCAGCAAGGGATTGACAGCATCAAGGCCTCAAATGGGTTCTGAGATCCAAATAAGATGCAAGCCTGTGATAGAAACATAGTTTCATTTGCTGCTGTATTCTGGGTCCTTACACTACTGTTGACACATAGTAGGTGTTCAATATTTATAAAATAAATGGGAAAAGAGCTTCAACCCCTTTCACAATAATTTTGTATTAAGGTATCCTGATACTATGTTTTTTTCCTATGAGCCACCAAATCAAATAACATGTTATTTTCATTACATATGACAACTCTAAGATCACTTTTTAAGTAAAGCCTATGTCAGGAACTTATCTTTTGTTGTGCATTCATTAATCATAGACTTAGACAAACTAGTTAATGAACAGAGGCCTTTTGTGTATATTCCATGGGAGAAAACAGCATTAATTATACTATTTAGCAGTGGTACTTATCCTTCTTTTGGATCATGCACCACTCTGAAAATCTTTGGATGTTAAAGGATGAGTCTGCAGAAAGATAACATACAGAGATCTCCACAAGATCTTAGAAAGTAGTCATGTAGGGGCTGGGGATTTAGCTCAGTGGTTCCGCCTCCTGCCTTACAAGTGCAAGGTGCCGAGTTCGATCTCCAGTGCAAAAAAGAAAGTAATCATGGACCCTCTGCAGGTCATTAGGAGCTCTGGTGAAGCAGCCATATATGAGTCAAAACAGATGGGGAATGCTGACTACTTGACTTCATTTTCTGAGATTAAACAAGCATTAGCACACAGGGCCACTAGTTAGCCTTTTAAAGGTTACAATGCAGTTTCTAGGAAACAAGGTATGAGCTACCTTGTCCAAGGCACATTCACACATTTCACAAGATCTATTTTCTCTGTTTCTAAAGTAATTTCACACTTTCACACCTATCGAATTTGCAGATGTTTTTAGAAAAAAATTTATGTAAGAGAGTGACATAAGACCTGGACAAATATCATATGACTCCACTTATTTGAGGCACCTAGAATTGGCAAATTCATAGAGACAGAAAATAGAATGGAGATTACTGGGGGTTGATGGGAGGAGAAAATGAGTTATTGTTTAATGGCTGTAGAGTTTTTGGTGTGAATGATGAAATGTTTTGGGTATAGATGGTGAATGTATTAATGCCACAGAATTGGACATTTACAAATAGTTTAAATAAATATATATATTTTCCCACCACAAGGTTTTTCTTTAAAAAATATTATATATGGAAAAAAGTTTGTGCATGTGTACAGGTGTGATCAAAATATATGATGAGTGTTTACATTGTTTGAAATTTATTACACTAACAGACATATTGCCATCAATCCCACTCAAAATACTCCCCCTCACTTTGAACACAATTATCCCATCATTCTTTCCACTTTCTGAAGAAGCCCTCTTTCCTGAGTGTCTTTACAAAGTGTGATCAAAATATGGTGAATGCTGCTGTTGAGTGCCATCCGAAGTAGTGGCAGACTCACAAATCATTATGGTCTGTTCTCATCCATCTTGCTCACTGGATCTGGCACTTTGTGACTCCTGGCTCTTCTTCAAAGTCAAAATGGCCACAGAAGGTTAACACTTTGAAATGATTGAGGACACCAGGGCACCCAGGATGGCACAACTAAAGAATTCACTAAAGAGTATTTCCAGAACTGCTTCAGAAAGTGGCAAGAACAATAGAATAAGAGTGTTCATTCAACATAAGAGCAAGTATTTTGAGGAGGACTGATAGCAATGGGTCTTTTACTGTAATAAATTTTAAATATTAACCATATTTTCTGATCCTCCCTCATGTGTTGGAATAAATAAGATATACCGATCATAAAAAGTCCAAAAGATGTGGAAGACTTAGTGCAAAGTCGCTTTCCATTTTTATTCCCAGGTAATCAGTTTCCCTCTCTAAAGGTAGACAATATGCTGGTTTTTTAAAAAATTGATTACTTGGGATTGAACCCATATCTTTGTGTATATTAAACAAGTACTCTACCACTGAGCTACACCCTCAGCCCAGCATACCAATTTCCTCATTTTTTTCTCCTATTTTTTATAATCGAAGTAGTATTTTAAAGTCAATGTTGTGCACTCAAAAAATCTTTCCATCTCAGAATCCAATCAACTCCATTCTTTTGCAAGATGGCTACGTGATATTCCATTATATGAAAGTACTGTAGTTGAGCTAACTAGTCCTCTACTAATGGCCTTTTACTGATAGGCATTTTCAACCTTTTACCATTACAATTTGCCATGTATACCATACACATAATGTCATTTTACAAATATCAATTGCTATATTTCTTTATCACAAGAAAGCAAGATAACAAGCCCCAGAGAATGAGGTAACAGCAGATTACCCCTTTCAGCCAGTTAGCCCTGCCTGAAAGCTCTCTGTAGTGCAGAGCCTGCC